TAAGTGACTTGCCCAGGGTCACACAGCTAGTAAGTGTTTGGTCTGAGGCTGGATTTGAACTCAGGTACTCCTGACTTTAGGGCCAGTGCTCTCTCCACTGCACCACCTACCTGCCCCTTAGATTTAACTCTTTTGGCAATGGGAAACAAATGAAAGTTTATTAACAAGAAAGTGACACAATCAGAATCATATCTTAGTTTATTCTGACAGTGGTATATAAAGTAGATTGGAGTAGAGAGAGACTAAAAAGAAGAAGGACCAATTAATGGGCAAATGAAATAGTTTGGGTCCAAGTTAATGAGCATAGGAACACCGTAGTGGGATTGTTAATGTTTGTCCTTTGTTCTTGAAGAGGACCATGACATCAGGAAGGTGATGACATGGCTTGCAAGTAAATTGGATTTAAGTGAGAGAGGGCTGTGCAAAGGCACCAATCTCACTTTCTCCTCCAAAGCCATCTGAGTCTGGATATACAGATATATAGATATAGATGTAGATCAACATCAAGATGTAGATCAGGATGACTGGAGATGCCCCATGGTGATGGGATTAGAAGGCAAAGGAAAGACCCTGTAAACACTGGGTCTTTCCAAGAATAGCCTTGCTAACTAATTAGAAAAAGTATGGATGTCTTCAAGGTTTCCAGACTGATTAAGAGGATGTAATGTTCTCAAGAGATATAGGTAGAATCAAGAGGAGTAGTTATGTCAGATAGTGGACAGAAGGCTCAACTTGGAATCAGAAAAATCTGAGTCTGAATCTTGCCTCAGTTACATACAGGCTGTGTGACCCTTAGCCAGTCCCTTAACCTACTTAGTCTCAGTTTCCTCATCTGTAAAATGAGGATAATAAGAGTGCCCATGTCACAGAGTTGTTGTCCAGATCAAATGAAAGAATATGTATAAAGCACTTTGCAAGCCTTAGAATATAATGTGAATACCATTAATGTTATATGTTTAAAGTGCTTTGCAAACCTGAAAGTGTTAACATATAAATGTTAACTATTATTATTATATATGGAAAGTGTTTTGCAAACTTTAAAGTGCTGTATAAATGCTAGCTATCATTATTTTGCTTTGAAAAGAAGGCAAGACCCTTCTAATTGAATCATAGGGAAGGAGAGGATATAGATGAATTTTAAAATGAACTGGAGAAAAGTTGAGCTTTACTACCACCAGAAAGGCCTAATGCTAGTAAAGTATGAGTCAAATTTGGACTCTGAAGGTGATGGGGCAAGGTGATTAGGTTTAGGAGCTTAGGGGAAATTGAGAAATATTGTGGGAAAAGTAAAAGAGAAACAAACAGAGAAGAATAAAAGGATAGCTTTGATAAAGTAAGGACCCAGCTAACACTAGATAGCATGAAATTATAATGTAAAGAATCAGCATGGCTGTAATCTTTACTCTGTTATCTTCAATAGACTAAGGTAGGGGAGCAGAAAGGACTGAAGGAAAAGGGTCCAGTGCGCCTAGGGATGAGACTGTCTGGGAACGTGCAGCAGACAGTCAAGGAAACATTCAAAGTACTGGCTAGGACATCATTGAAAAGGCAGATCAAGGGGCCAGGTAGGGTAGGGAGGCAAGAGAAAACAAAACTGCCTGATGGTCTGGGAGAATAAGGAGCAGCAAACAAGACAGAGAGGCTCCACGGTTAAGAAGTGTTGATCAGACGAACATTTTGGAATTCATGAACTTGGAAATGGAGAAAATTAGAGAAATCAGCTCCAAGGCATTACCATGCTTTTGAAGGACTAAAATGTACAGTGGGAAAATTTATTAGAAACCAAAAAGTTGATCCAGGTGACTGGAAGATACATCGATGGGAATACTGAAGTCATAGGAGTGTTGTCAAGCATTGTGGTGGACACTGTGACTGTGAATCTAGTGTTGGCAACCATTAATGAAGACACCAGGATGAACAATCCGAATCTCTACCAAATGTTCCTAAACGCTGTGTGCATAAAGAGAACAAAGCAAACGACACCAAGACCTAGAAACCTTCCCATAAGAGCTTTAAAAACAATAACAACATTAAGAAAAAAACCCAAACACTTCTTTTTAAGAGAGGCAGTTTTGGTAGAGTGGATAGAAAGCCGCTCTCAAAGTCAGAAAGACCGCCCTTCCAATTCTACCTTTGACACATACTGGAGGTGTGGCCCTGGTTAAGTCACTTAACCTGTCAATGTTCAGGACAGCTCTCTGTGACTAAGTTGAAGAGAAAGTGCCAACCTGTGTTGATAAAGGGAGTTTCCTCACCCAGAGTTCTCTTGTACAAATGAAATCACAAGTCCAGTCTCCATTCCAATCCCTAACAAACTCTACAAGCCCCAGACCCAGCTTTCCTGGACTACTTTTCAGCTCTCCTGGTTCAGGGGCTTGCACCGTGCTAGCCAGTGACTAGAGGTTACAAAAAGAAGCATGACCCTTGGTTCCCTGATCATGAAGAGATTATTGTACAGTTAAACACTTGAAGAAAAATGGAAAAATTCAAACGTCTGAATGCTTGTCTGTTTGATGTTCACATCTAGACATGTGGAAACATCCTGAATAAGTGACTCATTATTTCTCTTTGCATCCAGACATTTGGCTCCTTGTTGCTAGAAAAGGACTTAGTCATAATAAATTAAGCACTACATTTATATTAACAAATAAATTAATATAGATAAAAAAGTTTCTGTTCTGTGTCAGTACATGTAAGTAGGGAATCCATACATGTGTCTACACAATATACATACACATAATACAGCATACACACGTAGGTATGGGCATACATGCATGGCATATGTATGTATGCACATGTACACAAATGTATATGCATGTGTGTGTATATATATACACACCTACATTTGTGTAAGCATCTACGTACATGTACAGAAGTACATGTGCGTGTGTGTTGGCTTGCACCTATAAATGCACTCGCTATATGCACTAAATAATTGGCCAGTTTTGACTAACCTCATTGGTTAAGTTAGTTGATTTAAAAAGAAAAGTAAAAAACACCCATTTTGGAATGACTTGAATTTTTTCCTTAAATTGATGACATTTTATTTAGACCTCAAAAAATAAGAGAAAGGCAACATGGTACAGTAAACAGAGAGCCAGCCTCAGAGTTCAGAAGATCTGGATTCAGTTCTTGGCTCTGATGGGACTGACTGTGTGACCTTGGGTAAGTTGCTTGACTTCTCAGTACTGTAGGCCAGTGGTATCAAACTCAGAAAGAAAGGGAGCCACTAAACCATAGAGAAGGACTCCTGCGAACCACTTTGTTGTTGCTCAGTTGTTTCAGTCACGTCCAACTCTTTGTGACCCCATTTGGGGCTTTCTTGGCAAAGATACTTGAATGGTTTGCAATTTCCTTCTCCAGCTCATTTTACAGATGAGGAAACTGAGGCAAACAGGGTTAAGTGACTTGCCCAGGGTCACACAGCTAGGAAGTGTCTGAGGCTGTATTTGAACTCAGAAAGATGAGTTTTCCTGACTCCAGGCCCAGTATTCTATCCATTGCACCACCTAGCTGTGCACACATTAACTTAGAAAACCACCTATTAATATTATTTAAGGTTTGTGTTTTTATTTATTTTGTTGAAGATTTCCCAATTATATTTTGATCTGCATCAGGCAGCACTCTGAAGCATTATGTGGGCTCTGTGACTGACCCTTCTGCTCTAGGCAACCCTCTCAGACTCTCAGTTGCAGAGAAGGTGCTGACTTGGATAGGCATCGGGAGTTTCCTTGTCTGAAAATTCCCTATATTAGTGAAATCATAGGTCCTGTCTTTATCCCCTGTCCTATAAGAAAGAAAAAAATCCTACCGGGATGAACACTAAAAACAAAATGACAATAACGATATAGAAACAATTATGAACAACCTGACCTTTTTCACTGAAATATATTCAGCCTTGGCACAACTGAAAATCCTGGTTAGTGACCGTGCTGACTGGAGGCGTTATGAGGTACTCAACAAGAACAGACGCCATTTTTCTGAGGGCTCTGAGGAGATGCGTTGGATAAAGAGATGTCAGGGAAGGTTTGAATCCCTTCTCTGCCAGGCTACTTTGGTCCTTTTCTCACCAAATGGTGATTTGTACTTTTAGAATATTCACAACTGAGCTAGTTTATAATCTGGAAGACCAGAAATAGAGGTAATTTGAGAATACTGGTGCTGTGATGGTAGCAGTCTGGCTGGAAATGGGACAGCCTTAGTAATTCAGTGAGTCAAACAGCTGTTTAGACTGTTCCCTTTGGGCTGCCGAGACAGACTCCAACACGTCCATGCTGTGCTATGTCATGCCGTGCAGGCAAAGTATAATCAAATAGAATCGATTCTGGTATAGTTTAAATGCAATGAAAATATTGAACTTCCCATTTTAAATAGCTAAAAAACAATGCACTGTACTATTAAAGTGAAGGGGGAAAACTCCGTGAAAAGCACTGTCAAAAGAGGAGCCATTAAAAAAAAATGGATTAAAGTCTCAGCCTTTGTGAATTCCATCTAATGTTTCACCCATCATGCTCAGCCTGTCTTTAGGAGGAACAATAAATTGTCTTCTAGCAAGAGAAATAATTATGGAAAACATGCCGTTTTTCTTCCTCCTGTTAGATAGGTAATCCAGAGTAGAAAATATCAGAATGACTATAGAAGAAGTAAGGAGACATCATATTTTTTTGCTGTCCTTTTGAGGACAAAAGATTTTTGTAGCCCCTTTGGGACATATTCATAAGAGTATTTTTGTGTCAAATGAAAGTGAACGTGGGAATTGTTTATAGATGCGATGCATCAATCTCTTCATTTTCTTTTATGGATTACTGGCAAAGCCTATATGCTTTTTAGGAGACTGTCAATTTCTTGGATTCTATATTTGACTGCATTTGATCAGTAGCCCAGAATCTTGCATAACCTTGGTCAACAGCATCTTTCTCTATGTAATTAATTAATAAATAAGCATAGAGGACAATAGGAGAGATTAGCATAAAACAAGAAAATAGCAATGATTTTCTTACCTCTTCCTTTTCAGCACTTTGCAAATCCCTCCATTCTTCAGTTACATGGCCAAAGTCCACTGTATTCATGGCTACTTTAAACTCTCCAATGATATCATGCTTGGAGAAACGGTCAAAATCATAGACTGCCATCACCAGAGTTTTTCCTCCTAATTCCGAGTAGGGCACCTAGATTAACAAAAAATAAATAAATAAATAAAATAGAGAGAGATGAAAGGTCTGGCTCAGAAAATAGAGAACAACTTGCTATAATGCAAATTAGTTTACAGTACTTAGCTTTTAATAGCCATGTTTTTAATAAGCAGCACTAGAAGAAAATTATGGTGGTGGTGTTTTCTTTTTTTTTTTAATTGAGTCACTTGACTTTACTTTCTGAGACTTGAATTATTCAGGGGAAAATGAGGCTACAACACTCATTTATCTCTTTGCCTCAGAGATTCAGTAGCTTGTTAACAATCTTAATAAGAACAATAATTCCTGCATGGCCACACTATCAAAACTGAGAAGATGCATGCGTCTCTTCAAGAAAAACACACAAAGCAAGTCAATTGCATAGGCTACTGTTAGAATTCGTTTCCTTGTAGTAAAGATTTCTTGCTAAAATGAGTCAGCTGCTTAAAATGAGTAACTTATTCATAAGAGTAGCTTACACATTTTGAAAGGTCCATGAATTCTTTTAAACAACTGCAATACCATAGCCTAGGAGCCTCACTTGATCCCTACAGTCATTAGTATTCTCTCCCTCCTGAAATAACTTTGTATTCACTTTTCTTCTTTTATATATTATAACTACCTCCCTTTCTCCTAATGAAAGAATATTTGTTTTTGCTTGCTTTTTGAATCCTTAGCACCTGTCAGAGTGTCAGTACTCAATGGACACAAAAATGTTCCACTAAATTTAATTAATAAATAAGTCTCTAGACAATTGGATGATTGAAATGCACCTCCCAAGTTGTCTTATCCTCTTTAAGTCATTTGCTTATTAGTAAGTTTTTAACTGAGAAATGATTATTTACAATATTATTATTATATAATATTTCTCAGGCGTGACACACCTAAAAAATGTGTGGTTAGGAGAATGCTAAATCCTGTTAAATCCCCCAGCTGTTCAAATGTTCCCAGGATAAATGTGCTGGGTTGGGATATTTATTAATGGCATTTTTTAGAATTCAGGAAAAGTAATGTAAATTAGTTAAGTTACACTCTAGTAGCTGGCTAGAAAGAGTTAATTAAGAAATTATTCAGACTTGTGTTGAAGGCTTAGTTGATTTTAATATACTTCCTACCATATTTGTGGTAAAAAATGGTTATCTTATGGTCCAGTTAAAATTCCTCAATTACTTACATATCATAAATGGAAATAAGAGGTAAGATATTTTGCTATATTATCAAATAAGTGTTTCAATTCCTTAAAATGTTTATAATTTAAAAAATTTATTTGGTATTGCTTATTTCATAAAGAAGCTATCACCTTGAACTTCAAATTTTCATTGCATACTTCAAAAAATTACAGGAAAGCTCTCCTGATCCCCTTTAATGCCTGTGCCTTCTCTCTGTAGATTATCTTAAATTTCTCCTATAATACTAGAACTTGTTTGTACATAGTTGTTTGAATGTTTTCTCCCCCATTAGACTGAGCTTCTTGAGGGCATGTAAGATGCAAATAATCAATAATAAACATTTGTTAAATACCTACTATGTGTCAGACAATGTACTAAGCATAGAAGATACAAAAAGAGGCAAAAGAGTCAGTCCCTGCCCTGGAGAAGCTTACAATCAAATAGAGGAGCTTACAATTTATCTATATTATCTAACATCTTTCCAATTAAGATAATACATTCAAAAAATTAAGAATATTTTAACCTTAAATCAGGTTTATAGTTTTTATTTTTCTGCCTTTTTATTTTCATGCCTGTTTTATAACCTTCAAAATTTTCCCCGAGCTTTTCCTATGGATGATTAAAAAGGGAAGGCATGTTAATATAGATTCAGGATTGGCAGGTCATTTGTTTCTCCCATTTAAAAAGATTTAGTACATCTAAGTTAATGGTCATTTCATCAGTAGTCACCAACCTTCCCTCCTTCAACATTCCCTCTGTCTATTCCCACCCCCTTCTGCCCCACACCCTACCCTATCCTCCAAGCAAACTTTAGCTAAATCTGAAGCTCAGGGGTGAAGTATTTATGGTAGGATGTTAATTAGCCATTTAAAAAATTTTATAAGTATTCTTAATGCATTACCTTGAAAGTGTTAATCTGTATATGAGGGAATAAAGACTGAACCTATGAACTTTAATGACTTTTACGAACTCCAAGGAGAGAAAACTCCCTCCCTCAATGCAGTTAGCACCTGCTGTGTAACTTTAAGCCTTAGAGTTGCCTTGCCCAGGGTCATATGGGCCATATATGTAAAATCTAGCTCTTCCTGTCTTCAAGGTCAGATCCCTATTCATTACACCACATTGCCTCTTTTAATTGTGCATATATAAACTACAACATATATTAACTTTTGGTAAACCTGATGGTTTAATTTCTCTGAATCTATCTCTTTTGCTCTTTTTGAGTAATACCAAAAAAATGGATTGAAAAGTACAAAATTTAGACAATCAACAAGTTACTTTTACATTTCCCCCAAACCTTTTTATTACATTTTACATTGGGTTGACTAATTAAAAATAAAACTGAATTGAACTAAATCAATCAGGTTTTCTGCCACTGTGTAGAGTAGGGCTGACCTTATATATATATATATATATATATATGTATATATATATATATATATATACGTGGATTAGGTGATTTACCTATATGATGTAATTTGCAAGGCAGCACAAATCCTTTACCTGACCCCAAATAATAGTTTTCTTATTGTTCTGTCACAAGCCCTGAAATTTTCACCATCTGAGCCCTGCCTTTTAGTTTAAAGTATTGCCTTGAGAAAGTTCCTAATAAAATGAGTATATGGCTGGGGTGGGTTAATTTATTAAATAGTTGACCCTCACCGATTTAAAAAAAAACTCAAAAATAAGTTTCTAAGATAACAGATGAATTATACATAAAATGCAATGATTTTGTTGGTAGTTGATATTTTGAATGCATGGTAACACAGTTGATCAACTATAATTATTAGCAGCTTAAATTCTTGAAAGCTAACAACAAGGGATTCCTTGAAAAAAAAAAGGTGACCAGAAAGAGGGGAACAAATTTAGAGAGAGCTTTATTCACACCACATAGCTACCATCAAGTGAACTTTCCTGTCATAGCACAGAAGCTGAGAGGGAGTGAGAGCACAGGAGCATGACGGGAGGTGAGAAATCAAGCATATGGGTACAGCTAAGACTGCATTCGTATTAGATGCTGCCCATTCCTTATTCCTCACATCCCACCTCCCAGTAAAAGAAAAAAGAAATAGAGTGAGTCTAGATTGATGTTTATCAGCATTGATAATTCCTCTGATTCTGGCAATCTGACCTCCTTCTCTCCTCATTTCTCAGTTGTATTGGAAAGGTTATTATGTGAGTATGAATGCAGACTATGAATGATTCCCCAGTCAGGAAACAAATGAGACTTTTTACTTGGGGGCACTCTATGCCTCCAATGCCTGGGATTCCATTCCTGAATTCAGACTTAAGGACTAGTTGTCATGGGGATGATGTGTTCTTGCCTTGTGTTCCTATGAGAGTGGGGAACCCTGGGATGTCTTACTACTAGCTTGTCAGGTTAATAAGCATTTATTAAGTACCTACAATGTGCCAGACACTGTGCTAAGAGCTGAGGATGTGAAATGTGAAGAAAGGCGAAAGACAGTCCCTGCTTTCAAGGAGCTCATAACCTGTGTTTATCTGTGGATTGTGGGAGGAAGCAGGAGTCTGATATGGTCAAATTGCTAGGACTGGTGGTCATTGTTGACAAATGCCCCCATTGCTCTACCCCTAGCTAGAATAAATAGACATTGGTTTGACTCTCTTTGTTTCTACTATAAAAGTACCCTAATTAATTGTTTCTTCTAGCTCCATAGACACCAGATTAAAAATATGCTTTTGGGTTTTAAATGCAAATATCCTTCTAAAGTTTGTGAATAAAACATTTCAGGTTGCTATCTAGGTTTTAGGATACTATAGTATTTAAAGGTGTGCTAGAGCCAACTCAAACTGGGTCTCGAGCCGATTGTTAAACTTTCAGTGTGGGCATTTATCACTCTGTGTTTCTTGAACTGAACCTTAAAATGATGATCACGGCTGACCAACCTTATCATGTTATAAAATAAGGCATGAAAATAAGTGAAGATAGCATCATGGTTGGCCAGATAAAACCACACACTAACTTACGCATATTTATTTATTAGAAACAAAATGGCCATATGGTGACTTTGAGGGGAAGACAGTAGCAACTGAAGGGACTAGGAAATAATTCATGTAGAAAGCAGTAGTACTCCAACTAATCATAGAAGGAAACTAGGCATTCTAAGATTTAAAAATGAGGAGGGGGTACATACCAGGAGTGGGAGATAGTCAGGGCAAAGTCAACTGGAAGTAGAATGTCATGTTAGGCCCCCTCTTCAACTGCCTTATATGTAAATTGGGGATCTTTCATGAGGTTGTCATGAAGATCAAATGAAATAATCTATGTTAAAGTGCTTTTCAAACTTTAAAGCATTTTATGTATATACACACACATATGTATGTGTGTATATGATATATATGTGCATATATGCATATGCTATATACACACATACATGAAGGTAATGGCAAATCACTCTAATATCTTTGCCAAGAAAACACATGGACAGTATTAGGGTACTATGGTCTGTGGGGTCATGAAGAGTTTGACATGAGTGAAAAATTGAACCACAACTATCTATCTACCTATTATATATGTCTATGTAGGTCTATGTATATATGTCTATATATATATGCTATTACTATTAATTATTATGTTCTCCCAGGAATAAAAGGGTACAACTAGAATGTTTTTGATATTGTAAGTAATTTATTTTTATTACTTTAATTTGTTAAGAAATTATTTTTATTTTATTATTATTGATTTTATATTCATTATTGACATTATCATTTTATTATTAATTTAATATTAATAAATAAATTTATTTATTTGTAATATTTCCTCTTTTTTTCTGGTTTTGTGGAATTTCAACACTATGACTAGGTTTGTATAAAAGAAATATTCCCATTTAATTCTCTCAATTACTACTTATATGGATCTAGAAGAAGTGCTAATTAAAGACAGAGTATGAACCTCTTTAATTGACTAATAATCAGGAGACTGTTTGCTTTGAAAACTCTTGGGGAACTGAAAAAAACATTTTGAAACAAGACTGGAAGTGAGGTTTGGGACACTGCCACCTACACCCATCTATCTTCTACTAAAATGTTTGCCATCCTGCTGACCTATGTAGGATATGAACTAAATTGATAGGGAGAGATGCTTTTCAATACATAGACATTTCATTTCTCAGAAATTTATTGCTTCCAGTCATGGATTTAAAAAAAACAAAATATTCTCACATAAAAGAGTCCACTAAAGACTATCCTCAAGGTGATAATTTTATGAATGGTTTCAAGCTAAAATCCCCAAAACTTATATATGCAGCTATGGCCCGCAGGGGTGGGGAACCTGTGACCTCGAGGCCACATGTGGTCCTCACCAAGGACTCCTGGTTCCCCACCCCTGTTGGTCTTCAGGGAGATCACTCTTGCTGAGTTATTGTAGAGGTCAAAATTTCCTCTAGTTCTTTCTGTGAAGGGAAACTGTCACGCAAAGATGGAACACACCAAAGGAAAGGCCAAAAATAACAGGAGGAGATTAGATTCCAGAAAAAACCAAAATATTAAGATAATTCTTGATAGTAAGTTAAGTTATGTGGTTTTATTCAGCAATGTTGTGCACACACACAGGACTTCCAAAGGACATGTTATGTGTTTATTCCACTTACAATTCAGAAATAAACTAAATTTTACATGTACCCTGTGAGTCAGTTTTTTTTTTTTTTTTTTTTGGTAAACGATTATAAACGTATTATTTTAAGACACATGAAATCCATATTAAAATAATTGGGTGTCTGACCCTTACAGAGAATACCCTCCCCTTAAGTCACTGGATCAAAATAAAGACTTAGGAAAATTTTTATACGAAAAAGAAAACTATGGGGACCTGGGGTCATAAATTGTGTATCAGAAATTTTGTGAAGTTAGATGAACTGTTAGAATCCACACGCAACTAAAGAAAATAATGATGACATTATTCAAAAAAATACCTTGAAAGTAAACTGCTCATTGAAGACAGGGTTAAGAGTCTTTCTGTGGACTTTTGTCTCAAATTTCTTCTTTTTATCAGGCAGCAAGAACACTTTCACGTAGGGATCTGATGTACCACCCATATCTAAGGCAGGAAGCTCTGCTGCTTGGATGATACCTACCAAGAGCTAAGAGGAAAGAGGAAAAACAAAACCCAAACATCAGGTAAAATCATTAAATAGCTATTTTTTGGGGGAGGGGGCATTGACTTATTTACACATGCACCATTTCCAGCATTTCTCCCCCTTTCACTTTTTAATTTTTTGCTTTTTAATAAACTTCCATCCCTGTAGGAACCTGAATCACAGAAGGCAAATGAAGGGATGCTGAACCAATTATGGCAGATGCAGGCTCTAGGAAGCCTGGTTTTAAGCACAAAAGAGGCTTTTAAAGGGCTGCTGATTACAGTTAAATATGGAATTCATATTTGCAAAAGGGTTGCAATCAAATAACTTTCCAGTTGCTAAAAGCCCTTGTGCATTATTTTTCTTTGAAGGGCATGATTTGTAGATGGAAATACATTGTTAAACAATCATACATCTATAATTATAACTAAGCAGTTTCTATTCTAAAGCAGCCCCCTTCAACCAGTTAAATATAAATTTCTTAGAAAATAGGGAGCATTTTGGATGAGAAAATTAGATCATTCAGTCTCCTTCACACTTGACCTTCACTTTGGGACAAATATCTGGCAATGATTCATTTTAGTTATAGCCTAATTAATATTATCTTTTTGATAGATGAAGACTAAATCAGAGAGGAAACATGGTTGTGTGAAAGCCATCAGAAGATGTGGACTTGCATCTTAGGTGTATCATAAATTAGCTATGGGACTATGACCAGTCATATTACTCATCTGAGGTGCTTTCTTCCTCATCTATAAAAGGACAGGGTGGGCTAGATCAGGCAGTTCTTGATCTTTATTTGTGTTATGACCCCTTTGACAATCTGGTGAAGCCTATAGACACCTCAGAAAACTTTTTTTTTGAAGGATGTAAAATAAAATGCCTGGGATCAGTAAGAAAACCAAGTATATTGAAATGCAGCCATCAAAATATTAAAAGAAGTTCACAGACAGGTTAAGAAACCCTGGAGACGATTTCTAAAATTTCTTCCTGTTCTAACACTCACACATCATACCACGATGCTATGATTTTAGTTTTGCATAGCAAAATGAAAACTGATGTGTTTTCTAATGTCAAAATGACAAAGATTATGTTTTTAACCAAATACACAAATAATCTCTGTGTTCATCTTCAAGTTTGTTTCTCCATTAATGGATGTCTTCCTGCTTGTTTACTGGCTTATTGGTCATTGTTCTTGCATGGGAAGAGAGATCTAAAACCCAGCCATAGCTAGGCCATTGTAGTTGTCATACCACCAAAGGTTCTGGGGACAGACTACTGAGCGATCCCCCATGTATTAGCCTAGGAATGTAAAAGTTCACAAATAAAACTATAGGGTCTTGATCTACTACAGAGCTTTACTCATTCAAGAGTAAAAAATGGATCCAGGAGTTTTAGCTAATTGAGTAAAAAAAGAAATTCACTAAAAAACCCAGGCCAACCCATTCTGTACACAACTGAACCACTCTGCTCTTAAGTGTGATGTGGTCAGCATGACTCAACTGCAATCCCAGCCTGATGCTTTCAATGGTAATGGGCTTTCTGGTTTATTGCTTTCATTGCCTTTTGCAACATCAGCATACTATTTTAAAGATTTAGATAGGAAAGGAGATGCTGTAAGATAGCCAAACAATACAGGCAAGTTGGCCTGAGATTTTTAAATGTGCACCAGGAAAACATCAAAAAATCCACCTCTTTGCATACTGTTCTGCAGTATTTTGTATCCACTGTTTAGCTAACAATTTGCACAATCAGGAAGTCATTTGCTTCACAAATCAAACCCATTTTTCACTTCTGAGAAATCAAACCTGCAATATTGTTGTAAAGGGAGCACTGATTATTTCTAATTATAAAACTGTTGGAAAATTCTGGTTTGAAAATGTAAAGTTACCCATTTCCTTCTTTCTCAGACTCTCGTCCAAGAAAGTATTGTCACCGATTTTCTTGTTGGCAAAATATTAAGTGAGCTCCCCAATGGCATTCTAATGGGGCCCACTATTTCTGCTAAGGAAGGATGTACATTTTTGTTATTAGAATGCAGGCTTAGGTTTTTCAGTGTTTTTTAGATTCTTTTCTTCCTACTGAGTATCAATCATTCATTTAACAAATTGAATTGCAGAAAACCTTGTGTATAATGCCAAAAATTTTATCAGGTAGAATCTCAAATTGTGTCCATATTCTGATTCTCATTCTCTTTCTCCCCTCCTTCCCTCTCTCTTCATCTCTTTCTCCTTCCCTTTCTTCTCTCTTTCCTCCTCCTATAATCTATCTATCTATCTACCTACCTACCTACCTACCTAGCTATCTATTACAATAGGAGATGTATTCTCACCAGAGTGGGAACACAGAACATCAGAACACTTTATTCTCTTATGAATATAGCTCTTTAAAAAGCTACTTATAACCTAATGCAAATCCATCTAGAAGAAGTAACCAAACTAAGAATAATTAATATGAAACAGTAATTTTTATTTCTATTAGAAAATGCAAAATTAGAATCATATAGGTTTCTTATACATTTTGATTTTTCTAGTGAAGTGATGGTCAGGTGCAAGCCAACCCACAATGTAGCAAGTAATATTGTTGATACCTTTACTATCTTCCTCAATACTTCTCTCTCTGTAGCTCATTTCCCCTCAACCTGACTTCACACTGTAAGGGGGAGGTTTACCCAGAGGATGGCCAGTGGCTATAGTAATAATGCTGTCTGTATATTAGGTGTAATCCCTGTGGCTGACTATTCCTTCTAACTCATGAACCCACACTGGTATATTTCCCATTAATAAATCAGCTACTAATACTCAATTAACATTAATCAAAATATTTACTGAAAAAATGCACATCGAAGGGCAGCTAGGTGGCACATAGATAGAGCACCAGCTCTGGAGTCAGGAAGACCTGAATTCAAATCCAGACTCAGATATTTGAAACTTACTAGCTGTGTGACTCTGGACAAGTCACTTAACCCTAATTGCCTCGCCAAAAAAATGCACACCGAACACATAATATTTACTTAATATTATGCCCATATACTTGAATCACATCTTGCTAATACTCCCAGTAAGTGTCCATGGGCAGAATGGGTACACACTTCAAGTTCCAGGGTACGAAGGCTAAAGTGTAGGAAATATGGCCAGTGCAACTCACAATCCTCTGTCTCCAAAAGTTTCTTGATGGGCATAGCTTATACATTGAATACATACTACTTTTGCTAAGCTAAGATGAACCATGCTGTGCTGTGCTAACACCTCATTAGACACAGTGTCTCAACTGCATTAGTTAATCTGCTGAACTAATTCCCTGATGCTACATTTTTAAGCTATTCCTCTGATCAGCTGGGGTTGCTACTCAACAGGAACTGTAGTATCCATCTTGTTCAGCTTCAGATTTAGCTGATGCATTCAGCTGAAACAGTCTTATGCTCTTTTTAGAAAAGGTGACAGCACTTATTATAAGTTTGGCAAAAGCCTTGCTAAGTCTGCTCCTTTGGCAAGAATTTTCTTCATCTCTCAGGAACCAGAGGTACAATTCAGAGAAGTATCTTTTGTCTTCTTATCTCTTCTAAGGTTCATTACATTTCTAAATCTATGCTAATGTGATCTTGTCTAATGTTTTCATCAAGGATGCTCAACATGTAAACAGTATATAATTACACATATTTTTATAGAAATAATAGAGTAGTTGCTTATATCTTCTCAGTAACTGTTTTGTTGTTGTCTTTTTTCCCCCCAGAAGCATAATCTGCTAGCCTTTTCATATTTTTAGAATATTTCCCTCTCTAAGATCCTTGAGGACCTTAACAGTTGTATCACCTACCTGACCCCTGGTCCTGCTTCTAGCTTAATCAACTGCCATATACAGGGCAAGCAAGCCAACCTAGTTGAAGGAACAAGGCACCCGGGGGGAGTGATAGGGGGCAGCAAGTGCCAGGTAAGTCAAAACATCACCATTACCATCTTGGTAACTATCTCTCCTCAGACTTTAATGGAGACAGCCCAGAACTCTGGTGTAGTTCCTGCAGCAGCATCTCAACTTGGTCTTTGGACCAAGAGATTTTACAGTAAAAATGCCAACAATTCCATCAATGTTTGTACATAGTCTAAAAATTGGGTAATTTTTAGTACCCTCTGCACCTCGTTTACCATTCTACCATGGACGCTGTGGATGCAAAAGAGGAATATGTAAGGCAGGGAGCCATTTTGTATTTTTGTTCATTTCATGAACTTCCCTAGGGTTCACCATTTTGGTGATTAACTTCCACTCTACTAGATTCCATGAGAGTCGTTCCTCCTTTGAACTCCTGTAGTACTTAAAAAACTCTCTATCTTGGTAATTATCACATTGTCAACTTACCTCCTATCTATAAACAACCCAGTGCTCACTGGCACATAGTAGGTACTTAATATATGTTTATTGATTACTGATTGATTCCTGCAATTAGATTTTTGAGCTTTTAAAAGGCAAGGACTATGTTTTACTCATCACTGTCTGTCTCACAGTACCTAATGTCAGGCATTGCATATTGCTTCATAGATTCATAGGTCTACAGCTGGAAGGGATCCCAGAGGCATCTAGCCCAACTCCCATCTTTTACAGAGGAGGAGGCCCCAGAAGTTGAAATGATTTGTCTGAGGTCGTGGAGGCAGTTAGTTACAGAGGCTGAATTTGAATTCAAGTTCTCTGATTCTAAAGCCAGTGATCCTCTCCTTTTTTCCAAGAGGTCAGTTAATATTTGTTTACTTTGACAGAGCATCAAATGTCAGAAAGGGTGATAATAGGCTGAAAACTATGGTTATAAATTGCTAGGAGTCAAATTGGAAAAATCCATTACTAACTGTAATTGCAAGTTATTTCTCGGGCAGTTTTGTTATTTGCATTTCCCATGTTACCGCATATAAAACACTGATCAAATAATAACATGCAGTATTTATATAGTGCTTTAAGGTTTATAAAGCGCTCTCTCTCTGTAATCTTACTGGATCTTCAAAACAACTCCTAGAGGTAAATTCTATGATTACCCCCATTTTACACATGAGAAAACTGAGGCAGACAGAAGTTAAGTAATTTACCCAGGTCCACACAGCTAGTAAGTATTTGAAGTAGGATTTGAACTCAGGTTTTCCTAACTCCAAATGTGCCACTTATCTCTTTAAAACCCTTCATAAATTCTAGTTATTATTATAATCTGTCCAAAACACCCAAGTATCAGTTTTTACTTAGCTATTTAGAAAATGCAACAGAACTGGAAGTTATTTTATTTTTTTCCCCAAACCTGATTGTTCTGGAAGTCATAATCCAATGAGTACTGGAGTTTCCCTAGTTTTTCTTCTTCTTTGGGTTCTTCTTTTTCTTCTCCATCAGTCAAGCCAGTTTCAGCATCATCATCCTTGAGGGCCTACAAGGAGGGAAATGGGAAATCCATTCACTTTTCATCAAGATACAAGTGAGGTGATGATACCTGATGTTTTACCCCCGAGCCTTTAAAAGCCAGTGCAAAGCTGCCTGGAGTTCCAGTTGGTCTGACGCGCATTCCTATAGGCTGCTTACAGATCTTTTTTATTCCATCTGTGCACAAATTTTGTTTCTTATTAATCAGCAAGCAAGAAGGAAGCAACTGAAGCCCTTAGAATATCCCAAGCAAATAATTTTCAACTGTTGCAAAGACTGAAATACAAAGAAAATGTCAGCTTGACATGAAAAAGTCTGCTCTAATCCAGTCGCTTCTTATAGAGGCAAACATGGATAAACATGCTATTAGCTAGATCAAGTCACATCCCCATTCCACTTAAAGAAACAAAAAAGTCAAATGTCATTCTGCATGCAATGAAGGCGTTTCTATAATAAGAAAGTCATAGATTTCTATAATAGTATTCTCTGTGCAAAGGCAGCATCATATGTGTTGAGCTGTCAGAAAATTATGATTCTGGAAGTTTCACACACATATCTGTAATGGGAATAGAAAAGGAGGCGGTACCATGCCATAGGCAAATGCAAGTCCCGAGAAAACCACTTCCATGTTGCTGTCCTAACAGCTCCATCAAAAGCTTGGTTGAACTAAATTGATTCAAGGGTCTGTTCATTTCAGAAATGTGAGAAGTACACTTGTTATTTTGACTGGGTTTGGAATGGCTTTACTACCAGTAAAATTTTATGGAAAATTGCACGAATGAAGCTACTTGGCACTGCTATTAGAAGGTCAATTCTGGACGACTGAAGATTCTTTGATACTGAAAACTTAAATGCATCATAAAATGTGATACTAGGAAGCAGTTTTCTTCTTGGAAACTTATTATAGGTGCTTTTCCTTGTCTTATCAAAATATATCAAGAAAGTGATAAGATGAGCATTCAAGTTAACAACAATTTTCCTAATCGGCATAAAAAGAATGCAGAGAATCATAGTTCTAGAGCTGAAAGAGACCTTAGAGATTCTTCTAGTCCAATCCCTTTATTTTACAGGAGAAGAAACTGGCCCAGAGAGGTGAAATGACTTTCCAAAGGTCATACAGATAGTAAGAGGCAGTGGTAGGATTAGAATCCAGGTCCTCTGTCTTCCGTGCCAGTGCTCTTTCTCCCATACCACCCTTTCTCTTAGAGATAATTGATAAAATATTAATTGTTACTTTTCCATGTTTCTCATTAACAAATGTCATCTTTCCAATGGAGATGAATATTCTTGTTATTTTCTTGTTTTCTATTTGCAATATACTTCAGAATTTTCTGGAATCTCCCAGAAACTATGAGTAAAAGGCTTGGGAGATGGAAAGGGAGAGAGAAAAGTAATTCCCCCTTCCTTCGTAGATAAGTGCACAGAAAAGGAAATCTTTCAAATGCTTAGCTGACATTTTGACCCAAGGCTTTAAATCCTAGGTCACAGCAGATAAGGACTTGTGAATCAGTTACAGAGACAGAATGTTGAAATAGAGCTACAGACTCATCCCCTAGCTTCCTTCTTGAAAACTCTCAGGAGCTATTATGGAGAGTAGACAGGATTCTATTTTTTCAGTTACTATTGAGAATAGCCAGTGCTGATTTCACAGTAAAACCATTTCTAAATTTTTCTTAGCTTCCCAGCATCGTATTTGAGAGTCTAATGTATTTTCAGCCTTTTTCTTCAACCATTGAAAGGTTGACTGATGGACATGTTTAGAATTTCAATATCTGGGATTTACTTGCCTAAGATAGCCAAAGGCAAAAAAAGCACCCCTGTTATTTTGATAGCTCCCTTGAAGTCTTAACTTCTGGGGTCACGAATGGGACCAGGAACTAACCCGTGCCAAGGAATGACCTAGGGTCTTTTCAGAGGATTTCATGTAGTGGGAATTGCATGGACTTCTTAAAGACTTTACCTTACAGATGGCTATCGCACTTGTCATGCTTGATGTGCTTAGAAAACTGCACGGAGGAAATTACCTCCCTGAAAGATTTCCATTTTTATAATAATAGCAAGCTGTCCAATGCCTGTTCCTGGCTAAAAAGCAATCTGTACATTTTTTTCCCAACCGTATAATTAAACACACACACACACTTTTTGATGGATTAAAATAATTTTTAAAAATCCCTCTCCAACAACTGAAAATTTATATATCATGTTTTGGCCCACTGCAATTCAAAAGGCCTGAGATATTAAATCTCCTTCTCCCTAAGTGGCTTGTGACCCAATAAAAGGTACAGAACCATTTCTGTAATTATTCTGTGTGAAATAGGGCTAAATTTTTTTTTATAATTTTTCAGAGCCACAGTTCATCACTGAAGTGATTAAGTCTACTCCTTTCCCAAAGGCTGCGTTTAAGCAAGAATTTTTTTGTATCAATACATTAAATTCAGACCCATTAAATCAGTAGCTATTATGGTGTCTCTAGAGTGGCATTTTTTTTTCTGTCATGGAAAAAATGCAGGAAAGAAAGCTTATAGATCTAGCAGCTGAGACTTTGATAAACCGCTGCAGAAAAATTTATGATGGGGAGATATCTCTTTAAAATGCAGTGTTCAGAGCACATTTGTCGAATGCCTGCAACATGATTCTCATACCAGTCATCTTATCACCTTAAGAGAGCACATCTGTTCATAGCTATTGGTGTTAAGGGTTTGTTTTTTTCAAGCTGAACCTATTATTTCATCAGCATCAGAAGAAATTCCTTCTATCAATGGAGAATTAGCATTCTTTCTACATCTTACAGCCAGCGGCAGTGAGAGGTTAAGTGACTTGTCCAGGGTCACATAGCCAGTATGTCTGAGAGCTAAGATTTGAACCCATGTCTTCATGGCTTCAAGGCTAGCTCTCTAACCCCCAACCAAGACGCCTCTCAAATGTCATTCTTTGAACTTGGATCTGATGAGGCATGATTAACAAAAGGAAATGCAACCAAATATATTTCCTGTTTGTGCATGCCAGTTTTAAACTTTAGCTTCCTAGTACTTCTCAAATTGATACGTTAGTAATAAAGAAAATGAGAACCCTTTATCTTGGGGAGGAAAAATCAATTTAGTTCAGCCTTTTGATATGTGTCAGAACTCCATTTTAAAAATCTCAGCTGAGGAACCCAACTGCCAAGGAACTAAATATATCAGAGCTTTGGACTAGGTGTGTCTAAAGAGCAAAATAAACCTACCGCAGGTGAAAATCCAGAACAGTCATGAGACACAACACAGATAAGGAGGACATAGAAGGAAAAAATAAAAAAATTAAAACATCCACACACAAACATCAGGAGAGAAACCATGGAGAAATGACTTTCTCATTGATATCATTTTGGTACTTGGATTGGTATTTTTAGGGTCCATAAACTTTAGAGATCAAAAATTTACGTGTAAAATTTATTTCAGGAGCTGCACAGGTCTATGACCCACTGGGATTTCATTCCCTCACCAGATCATATTGGAATTCTTTGGAAAGTATGGATGTGAGTGTAGAGTTTCACCAAATACATGTGTATCCTTGAACTTTGCAAATTCCATTTCCTTGAATTATTCAAAAGAAAGGCATTGATGATGGAAGAACTCAAAGACTGTACTAGGGTTGATGATGCCTTTGATAAACTTGGAGAACTGAAGCCTATCTGATTTCTATCTGAAATCTATCTGATATCAATCTAAATGACTGTCCTTTTTGGTCCATTTCAGAAGTATGAAGACCATATGGCATTCCGTATCACTGTTACAATCATGTATAACTATGAATACATGAAAAAACTCCACATTTAAAAGAGCATAGGAATGGGACCTCTAATTTCATTGGTGTTGGGAAAACTCAATCCACCAATGCAAGCTGTCACCTTTTCTTCAGTTTATAGTCTTAAGAGAGCTGCCTACATCATTGGGGGTTACAGTAATTTGCCCAGCATGACTAAGTCATAAGCTATCAGAGACAGGACTAGAACCCAAGTCTTCTCGGTCTGACAAGCCAATCTCTTTCCATCTCTCCATACTGCCTTTCAAATATGCCCCTCCCCAAATCTACTAAGGCTGTAAGAGTAACTTCTAGTTCATTTTTTCAGGTTCTTTTAAAAAGTCACTGCACTGATAATTGGTGTTATATAATGCCTTCTCAAAGATTACACATTTTATTTAGTCTTCCACTGTCATCCTCCCCACAAAATGCATAAAGAATCTGTTATTAGTCACTTCTGTTTGTCAAAAGTGTTGCAAGCACCTGCAGATAGAAAATGATTTTCAATGGGGCCCATTTTCATTTACTAAACTATCTTCCTCACTGTACATTCAATTGGCTATAAATTATAAATAAGTTCTAGTTAAAACTCAGTGTCATCAAAGATGCCTCTTTAAAATGATCACAAACATCATTCTGAATATCTGAGGTTCTAAACTGTTTCAAACAAAGGTAGTTATTTTTCTAAGATTTCATTGTATTGTTTAATCTTCCTCAGATGACAATAAATGGATAAATAGAACCAATGACCATTGCTGGTTCCACTCTCCTCCAGCAGTATGAGATTATGGATTGGGACTTCCAGGATTGTTTGCACTGAGATCACAGTCATTTGTCCAGGTTATAATAAAGGTAATAAACACCACTTCATATACTATTAGGAACAGCTTTACAGAATACAGAACAAATTCCACAAAGATCACTATCAAAAATATGCATCACTTGTCCTAGGAAGAAATGTTTGAGTCGCTATCACATAGTATCATTCAGCATGATTAATTGTAATTTCCAGGACACAAAAGAATGATCACGTTCGAATGTTGTAGTCAGTGTGAATGCAAGATCACCATATTTTCAATATTAATGTCTCTCCAGTGATAATTAAAACAATTAATTTAAACATATTTCAGTTCATAGCCATGTAAAGGATTATTTCACATTTAATCTTATAAGAAGTTTTTTTTTTAAAAACTCTATGCTAGGTATGGTTTTCAGCGGAAGGTATTGAAATAAAGTAGGGCATGATTTAAAATGTCAGTTCTTCCATCACATTACCTGACCAAAGTCCTTCAGCAGAAGTGGACCTGAAGCCTAGCTGAACACATGAGTTTGGGCTCTGGAGTCATGATTAAAAACTGTCAGCAAATTTAACTCCTTATGCACACAAAATTTTTGGAAGTATATGCAGGCATTTAAATGAATGGTATGACAAAGGGGAATGGGGGCAGGGAAGAGATGCCAAGAGCAACTGAGCAACTGGTTAATTACATTTATTTTTTTATTTTTAGGCAATGGGGGTTAAGTGACTTGCCCAGGGTCACACAGCTAGTAAGTGTCAAGTGTTTAGTGTGAGACCAGATTTGAACTCAGGTCCTCCTGAATTCAGGGCCGGTGCTTTATCGACTGTGCCACCTCGCTGCCCCCAGTTAATTACATTTTAATAGAGTTTATTTGAAAGCAACTCTTCTCCTGTATCTCCAACAGAATTTCTTTTTTAAAGAGGGGGAGAAAAGAGGTCTAGGCCCAGGGCTTTCTTGGTAACTCAGCAAACAACCTGGAAATGTTAATAACATGCAAACTGCTCTCTGAAAATGAAATAAGCATATTTGAAAATTTAGAAATTTAATTAATAGTAGTACGGGAGAGATTCTTTGAAGGTTTCATATATTAGGGTAATAATTGATAGGAAATAAAATCACAAATCCTACATTACTTTCTGGGATAAAATATACTTGAACCTTTTTTAAAAAACTTTTTTAAATAGCAAAAAGTTGACTGAAAGGTATCTTTCATTTTCAGTAGTAGATTTTATGTGAATTAGAAGTGCCTTGAAAATATCTTACCCTGAAATGATTAACTAAATGGGGGTTAAGAGGAGTATTAGATTTTGGCCAAGGCTAAGATGACATTAAGTTAACTTCCATATCAAAACCAAACCCAAACCCAATATTCAAATTGGTTCTTTGTAGTCATTTGGGCAAAACTTATTGATTGAATTTGTCTAGCAGTTGTTGGAGAATCTAATGATTTCATATAAAGTGAATACAGAAATTTGGTTTTAATTTTCATCCATTATCAAGGACTCAAACGCCCCCTTCTAATTGAATACATGGTTTGTCACTGCTTATCCTAATGTTGTTTGTCCTATGTTTTCCAAGAGGACCAATGATGTCACAGGTAAAGTCTTGTGGGTGAATTGGATTTAAGAAGTCGGGCAGGGTTGCTCAAAGCCTTCAGCCTCACTCTCTCTTCCAGGGTCCTAGAAGTCCAGTGGCAGGACAAAAGTCAAGATGACTGGCTGATCCTAATAATAGAGAACCAGTAATGTGGTATTTCATTGGCAAGTGAAATATGTGTTTACCAGGCTAGTTTTCAAGTCACTGCTAATTCTTGTCTGAAAAATCTATTGAGACCAATATAGAAGAAGAAAGGCTATCAATTGTCTTCCCTGTTTGGCTTACATCTAAGCACATATTTTTGTAATTAAGGGCTGTGGAGCAAATGGAACAGAATATCTCAGTCATTCCAATTTGTATGAGCCAGAAAAATGGTGGAAGGGAATAGACAGGGTGACATTAGAGTTTAGACTCCAAGGATGGAATTTTCATCTTAAGATAAGCAGCAGTGATGCAATATAAAGAATAATTTCTCTTTAGATTTATCTCGAAAAGACCTGAGTTCAACTACAAGGTCTACCATTACCCTCTGCGATCTTAAGCCGGTCATACTAGTCACCTCTTCTGGCCTAAGAGTTTTCTCCTCTGCAAAATGAAGGGGCTGAGCTATATGATCTCTAAAGTCCCTTTAAATTATGTCAGTGAATCTTATTTCTTCCTCTGAGGATCCAACGACCCATTCTCTCTATGGAAAAAGAGAAAGAGAAGGGTAGGTTGGGAACTGGGGAAGATCAGGAGATCAAAGAATATGATCAGAGGGTCTTAACTATGAGGACGAGACCAAGAGCTAGGAAAGATCACATAGACGGTGATATTTCAAGGAAAAATAACTCTTAGGAAAGGTAATTGTGATTCATTGGAAAGAACAGTACATTTGGAGTCAAAAGAATACTTCAAATCTTGTCTATGTTACTTACTACTTGTATAACATTAGATAAGTGACTTAACTTTTCTGGGACTCAATTTCTTCATCTGTAAAAAGAGGGGCTTAGGCTATGACTTCTGAGTCTCCTTTCAGATCCAGATCTATGATGGAGTTTTTAAGTATTTCTTGTATCTTTGCAGTTTCCTCAAGTTTGTGGTTTTTAACATCCCTGTTTCCATCTGGTTTCTAAAAGTAAAAACGCTTAGGAAAATTAAGAGGAGGGAGTGAACAGGAAGGGAACCTGGGAAACAACATTCTGCTACATAGGAACAGTGAAAGGAGAGAAATTGGGTATGTATGTGTGTGTGGAGGGAGAGATGGGTGCTGGCATCAAGAGGAGGACAGAAAGGTTAGATTTCTATCATTCCTGGGAAAGAAGGAGAGAGGTAAGAACGGGGATCAAAAATGAATCACAAAAAAAGTTTCTTTGGGGGTTTACCATCCATAGGAAGGCAGATGTTTCTTGCAGTTGGCTTAGTTAGGGTGGAAGTTCCTTATGCCTATGATGACAAGGTTACAACAAATTGGAATGAGTGAATATTTTGCTCCTGTTATGACATACTTGACCAAATTGCCCATGAAAATAAACATGTGTTCATATATGACTTCTAAATACAAGCTAGTTCCAAGAGAGAATAGAGGATCGGAGCTTTATTCTATGTCTGTCTGTCTGTCTGTCTGTCTGTCTGTCTGTCTGTCTGTCTCTCTCTCATTTCCCGCCTCTCAGAATGTTTTTGAAACAACAGATATATGTTACTGGTCTAGAAAAGAATATGGTGTAGGGCATTTAGATTGGTTGCTAACTCAGAGACTTTCCCCCTAACTACTCACATGTTTTTTCTCTATGATACTCTTTGGGAAACCTTATAAATAGAGATATAACTAGGAATTTTTGCAACTGGGGTAAGAAGCAAAACACGTCCAAGACATAGAAAATGGAGTCCATTCTCAGGTGAGTGGTACTGGAGGAGGAAAAGGGAGTGGTTCCATAGTGCTGGATGGGAGGGAGCTGAACAACTCACTGCAATCTGCCCTTTGGTATGTTCTGAGCTCTGTTGTTTCTTTGCCATGAAGGCACTGTCAGGGCCATTAGCATCCTCTGACTTTAATACCCTCCAAATTCAGCTGCCAGAAGGAAAAGTCATGATTGCCCAACCCTAGTTATAGCCCTGTTTACAAATTTTAATATTACACAAAGAAAAGTTGATTAATAAATACGAAAGAGTTCAAATTACAGCTGCCAACTCTTGGTATGTTTTAACCAAGATTGTCCAGGAAGTTACTAGTTAAATGGAAATAATGAAATCTATTTTCCCACCATGAGGATATAAACTCCCCAAAGAACCCCCACAGTCACCCCCAACCCAACTCCCATCAATCTTTAAAAATATGAATTGAGGCACTCAAGAGGATGATCACATTACCTGATCTTTCATGGTCTTCCCTAAGTCTTTTACGTCTTTCATGTTTATGGCATTTTTCCCACCCTTTTCCTTTCCCTTCTTCTTGTTCTTCTTCTTGAATAAACATTTCTTGCAGATACAGAAGCAGCAGGTCAGGATTAAGAGGACAGCGACTATGGCTATGGCTATTAAGGCCCACGGTGGCACTGGAGAGAAAACATAGGAGAGTAAAGGGATACAGTTAATCAGAGAGGCAAGGAACCTGGAATTCCTGCAGCTACAAAGGTTGTAATCAGTCTGTTTCTAAAGTGTCAAGCATATATGTATCAAGAATATGTGTATCATTTATTTTATAATTACATTTTACATAACTTTACAATTATATCACACACACACACACACACACACCCACACCCACACAGTGTTTGTAGGCAGCTGGGCAGTGCCATAGTGCATAGAACACAACACTGGGCTAGAAGTCAGAAAGACTCCTTGAGTTCAAATCTAACCCCAGACACCTACTAGCTGTGTGACCCTGAGCAAGTCACTTGAGCCTGATTGCATCAGTTTCCTTATCTGTAAAATGAGCTGGAGAAGGAAATGGCAAACCACTCCAGTATCTTTGCCAAGAGAATCCCAAAAGAGGTCATGAAGAGTCAGACACGACTGAAAGAACTGAACAACAAAAGTATGTGTCTGTGTGTGCTTATGTACTGAGGCAGTTAGATGTCTCAATGGATAGAGCTCTGGGTCTGGAGTCAGGAAGACTTGAATTCAAATCTAGTCTTAGATACTAGCTGTGCCATTCCAGGCAAGTCACTTAACCACTCTTTGCCTCAGTTTCCTCAACTGTAAAATGGAGATAATAACAGCACCTACCTCACAGGGTTGTTGTGGGGTTCATATAATTGTAAAATGCTTAACACAGTGCCTGGCACACAGTAGGTGCTATATAAATGTTTATTCCTTTCCCTCCTCTTATGTGGACCTATGATTTAGTTGGTGTAGGGAATTCCTGGTAAGGAATTCTATCACTGTAGATTAGAGGGTTACACTGAGAGATTAAGTGACTTGATCAGGGTCACACAGACAATATGTGTCAGAGATGTGAAACTTGAACTTGGGCTTCTTAACTTGGAGGCCAGCTCTTTAACCATGATACCATGTTGTTTTTCAAATCAAATATAGTATTAAAAATCACCTATATTTCAATTATATTTGCCCATATTTCAATAGATAAAATATCTTGTATCAATCAATCAATACTTATTAAATACCTATTATGTACCCACGCACTGTCTGGGGTGCTAGACATACATGGATAAAAGTGAAATAACCCCTGCCATCAAGAAATTTGCATTCTTGTAGATCTCATTAGAAAACTGTGCTGTTCATATTAAATTTGTAACAGAAACATCTGGAATTGTAAACATAGGATTCAAACTTCAGTTTTTAAGAATAATCAGCAGGAATAACTGGAATTTTCTAGTATAATAAGATTGAAACAAAATGATTAAAAATAGTCATTTGAGACAGCTAGGTGGCACAATAGCTAGATTGCTGGACTTGGAGTCAGAAAGAACTGAATTCCAATCTTCCCTTAGAAACCTACTAGCTGTGTGATCATTTAATGTCTCTCGACCTTAGCTTCCTCTTCTGTAAAATGGATATAATAATACCTACCTGAAGGGGTTATAATGAGGACCCGAAGAAATACTACATGTAACTAGGTTTCCAGTAGAAGGCGGGATTTTAGTAGGGACTTAAAGAAGCTGGGGAAGCCAGAAGTCAGAGATGAGGAGGGGGAATATTTCAGGCATGGGGGACAGTGAAAGAAAAAGCCAGAAAGACTTCTTAACAAGTTCCATATTGCTAAAGGGAAAATGAGCTGCCTGAGAAAATAAAGGGGGGGACAGCTCTGGAGGTTTTTAAGGGAAGATGTATGACCACTAGTTAGGAATGTTATAGGCAAGAGTGGAAGTCATGAATGGGTTATGCTAGAGATGGTCTCTGAGAATCCTTCCAATTCTGAGATTCCATAAGCAGCCACATAGGGAAAATAATGCAGTGAAGAGTACAAGTTTTGGATTCAGAAAATCAAGAGAATTTAGAGATGGAGGAGGGATGTTAAAGATGATCTAGTTCAATATCTTCATTTTAAGCCCCTGAAGTTTTAAGTGACTTACTCATAGTCACTCAGGTCACATAGTAGCAGAGTTCAGGATTTGAAATTCAATGGTTTAGCAGAAAGAGCAATGGATTTAGAATCTAAGAAGCTGGATTCAAATCTCAGATCTTCTACTTACGACTTTTGTGGCTTTGGGCAAATTCTCCTTCCTATGTGTTTTTTTTTTTTTTTTAATTCCCATCCATATAATGGAAGAATCAGATTGGATGATCTTGGAGATCCCTTCAATCCCTAACTGTATGGATGACTACTAATTTGTGCATGTAAGACCAACATCACCATCATCACTGGCATTTGTAGAGTGTTCTGAGATTTGTAAAGTACCTCAAAAATAAGAACTTGTGATCCTCACAACAACACTGGGAGGTAGGTGCTGTTATTATCATCCCCATTTTATAGATGAGGAAACTGAGGCAAACAGAGGTTAAATGACTTGCCCAGGGTCCCACAGCTAGTAAGTGTCTGATATTGGATTTGAACTCAGGTCTAATTGACCTAGTCCATCACTATTCATTAGGCCTTTTAGTCCTCAATATGCAGATGAGAAAACTGACACCCAAGAAGATTAAATGACTCTCTTGAGATTACACAGAATGGCAGAGATAGGATTGGCACATGGAGTCATGAGTCAATGTAAAAGTTCAGCTTTCTTTCTAATGTAATCCATTGTTTTGATTCTTAGGACTTCTAGAATTGATAATGCTTCACTTTCTCCCTACTTTGCATGGATCTTCTATGTACATGCTTCCTGTCCCATTAAAATGTGAGCTTCTGGAGGGAAGGGATAGTTTTTGTGTTTTGACCTTTCTTTATATTCCCAACAGTTAGCACAGTAGCTAGAACCTAGCAACTAATTAATAGATGTTATCTGATTGAATTGATTGCTTCAGATCATAGCTGTGTTTCACATAATCTTATGAACGTCCCATGTCAGTTTCTTTTGCAGCTCTATTAAAATCTCCCTATTTTAAAATGTTTAAACGTATACAGCACATGTAATACACACCATTGCAACACGTTTTTAAAGCTATTCTTCTGATAATCTAATTACCCTTGAATAAGGATCTGGCTTCAGTGAGTGGCACACTGGAATCTCTCTGTTGTTCATTCAGTTCAGTTGCATCTGACTCTTTGTTACCTCATTTGGGGTTTTCTTGGCCAAGATACCTGAGTGGTTTGCTATTTCCTTTTCCAGCTCATTGTCCAGATAATTACACGGAGGCAAACAGGGTTAAGTGACTAATTCAGGGTCACATAGATAATAAGTGTCTGAGACCAGGAGCCTTCCTAACTCCAGACTTGGCACTCTATCCACTGCACCACCTAGCTGTCCAAGAATCTCTCTACCAAAACAGATTTGTCCCTTTTTTGCTACTGATAGTCACAGAGAATTGCATAGGGCACTAAGAGGTTAAGTGACTTGCCCAGGGTCACATAGCTAGCATATGTCAGAAATAGGGAACTTAAAACTAGATCTTCCTAGCTTCCAGGTCAGCTCTGGAGGTATTATGCCATGTCGTCCCTCAGCCTTGTAATATGGGACCAAAATAGACAGTATATTGTTACAGACAACGGCATATTAATGACGAACTGCTATTCTGTATGATGTTATTTATTCTCCCTATCAAACCTGTGTAAGAGTTTTCTAAAGAACAAGATAAAAGACTTTTAAATTATACAGGACAAAATTGAATCCATTTAACAAGTTCATAAAAGAAAATGGACAGTAGGAGCACAGGAAAATTATTATTTAAAAAGGCCTGGAGAGATAGGATCATACCACTCCAGCCATTGCCTCTTGAAGGGAAATTAAAGGGCTTGAAACAGTATTGTAAGTAATTTTCTTACTTTTATAAGTTTCATTTAAAAAAAATGATGGTGAATCCTAAATTTGTTTTTAAATTTCATTTTTTATTGGATTTGTTTAAAGAATACTCACAATTTAAGGAAAATTTCCTGCTTAATTAACTTTTTGAAACTGGGTCATGATTTCTCGAGGAGAAAAATACCCAGACATGCTCTTTTGGGGAGTAATCAGTTATGAATGTAGATGTGATAGTTCTTATTTGCCCTGCCTCTAATTCAGAGCTTCATTACTTCTCTCCTGGATTATCCTCCCAATCAGTTGCCATACTCTCTCATCTGTCCAATCCACGTTACACATCGATGACGAGGGAAATTTCCCAAAGCACAGCTCAGATCATTTCATTCTCCTGCCCTCAACCCTTCAATGCCTCCCACTGACTCTAGGCAAATTTTCCAACTCATTAGTTGTGCTAAAATTAGTTTAATTCATTTACATGAATTAAAAAGCATTTAAGTACTTACTAGGTGCCTGGCACTGTGCTAAATCTTGGGGATAAAAATACAAAAATTAAGAAAGACTCTGACCTCAAGTAGCCTACATTCCAAAAGAAGAAAAATCAACAAGCAAGTCATGCATTTATTAAGTGCAAGCTACATATCAGGTAGTGTGCTAAGCAATGGGAAACAACACAGATAGGGGAACGATAACCAAAAATGTGATGGTTTGGGAAATCACAGGGATGGTGAGTGGAGTCACAGGATGGCAGTGATATGCCTTTCTGCAGGAATGATAGTGCTGACTGGATTACTGTTCTCAGGGTCAGAGGCAGAAGGAGCAGAGGGAATTTATGTGTGAGGTGGTATGGCTGGATGGCAGCCAGGATTTATCATGGAAGAATCTGGAATTGACTAGATATGTGGAACTCTCACCAATCAGGAGAGCCTGCCTCCAAGTCAGAGTTCTAGGTCATTCAAGACCCTCTATTCAACCCCATCTAATTTAACCCCATCAGGACCACTATGCCCTTCACTCAACTTGCAACTCCCAAGTCAACATATCCAGACTTAGGCCCCCTATTCACATCCAGTTGCACATTTTCTCAACATGCCTACTACACAGTCTCTTTTCCCTTCAACAGCCACCCTTTTGCTGAGTTTCCCTGTCTCTAACCATCAAGCTAAAACACCTAGGTTAATAACCTTGGTGCCATC